GACCGCCCCCCCCCCCCTTCAACGCGCCAACTTTCCTCCCACCTTTTACGTTTCTTTATTCTTTTCAAAAGAATCCTTCAACAATTCCATAATTGCCCATATGCCCTTCTATTCTTCCTTATTTATCTTTTTTTCCTCTTTTTCTTACAAAATAATTGTGGCCGTGGACAGAGCGACAAAACATTTCTTATAAGCATGTGGAAATTAGTTCGGTGTTGACGTATTTTAAAAACTGTGAGGCTGACGATAATAAGTAACGAGCCAAAGCGAACAATATCTGCTAGTGGTGGGTTTTGACTGTTTATAAATGGTATCAAAGCTAGACACCAGACGGTGTGCGAACGAGGACGTTGGGTCCCCAAGTGGGTGGATTGTGAGATCACATATCAGTTGGAGAGGGGAACGAAACATTCCTTATAAGGATGTAGAAATCTCTTCGAAACATTTCTTTTAAAAACCGTGAGACTGACGACAATACGTAATGGGTCAAAGCAGACAATATTTGCTAGTGGTGAGCTTAGGTTGTATCAAAGCTATACATTGTGCAATGTCTCAACGAGGATGTTGGCCCCTAAAGGGTGTGGATTGTGAGATCCCACATCGATTGGAGAGGAGAACGAACATTTCTTATAAGGGTGTAGAAATCTCTTCGAAACATTTCTTTTAAAAACCGTGAGACTGACGGCAATACGTAACGAGTCAAAGTGGACAATATCTGCTAGCGGTGAACTTAGGTTGTATCAAAGCTATACATCAGCGGTGTGCCAGCAAAGACGCTAGCCCCTAAAGGGGGTAGATTATGAGATCCCACATTAATTGGAGAGGAGAACGTAACATTCCTTATAACAATGTGAAAATCTCTTCGAAATATTCTTTTAAAAACCGTGAGATTGACGACAATACATAACGAGTCAAAGTAGATAATATCTACTAGCGGTGAGTTTAGGTTGTATCAGACTATATATCGAGCGGTGTGCCAGCGATGACGTTGGCCCCTAAAGGGGGTGGATTGTGAGATTCCACATCAGTTAGAGAAGGGAACGTTTTAAAAATCATGAACTTAACGACGATATATAATAAGTCAAATCGAACAATATGTATTAGCGGTGGACTTGGGTTATTCAAGTATAGATTTAAATTTTTGACACTTGATCTCATTTTAAAAAATATATAATATTAGTCAGTTCAACTATTGAACTATGCTCAAGTTGACAATATCATAACTTGTGAATGTTATGCCCAGTATGTTTTTAAACCTTAAATCAATATGAACATGTTGTGGACTAAAGTTGAAAATTAATATGATATTTAATTGTATTACACCTTTTAATTTTGGATCATGCTAGATTATGTCTTTTATCTTGTTTATATTATTCAATTATTAGTCACATAAGGCCCACTAAACAAATAAAAAAATTATATTTTTAATTTGGATTATTTTTGTAATTTTCAAACAACCACTAATAATAGAAAAGAGGAATTGCATGGAAGTCCCCAAGTTGGGGCTAATTTATAATTTACCCATAATTTGGTTGCTAATGTATGAACAAATTTTCTCATAAAATGCAATAAAATATTTTTAAAAAAATATATATTGTACCAAAAAAAAAATCAATTAGACAATCTTCCATTGGGCCATAGCCTCCAAAACATGTTTAAGAATAAGGTTAAATCCTTAACACATGGCAATTAGAAAGAAAAATAAAGGTTTAAGGCATTAATCATGGTCGATGGTTGTTTGGGTCGAGAAAAAAAATTATAATACGAACAATTTTATTGGGCTTAGAAAATGTCTCAACTCGATCCAACCCAATTTATTACACCCGAGTAAATAAGGGATACATGAATAAATCGAGATCACGTCCAAATGAGAGCGATCATGAAGATATAATGATTTGAAGTTTTAAAAAATTGAAAGTTGCTACCTATACCAACAAGGTGTACTTGTACTTTTCTTTTCAGTGGCTCAATAGAAACTCCATAATTAAGCGTGTTTGCTTGGAGCAGTTCTATATTATATGACTTATGTGACCATGTTGTAGGGGATGCAGGAGAATATCAGATACATAGGTCATTATACAACCCATAAATACCAAACTCAATCCATAAATACGAGCATTAATCCCTTCTTAAAAACATAATTAAATGGTTTACTTAAGTCAACTAAAGCTTTTTTTTTTATATACTTAATTTAGTCAACTTGCGCTTAAATGAGCGATTAAGATATTGACCATATTTTAAATAGCCATTCCAATTTTAAACAATTGAAAACAAAAAGGATGGTTATTTACGAAAATAGCCCACAAGTTTCGAAGCGTTTTGGGCCCATATATCCTTAAATGGCCCAATAGGCCCAAAATTTAGACAACTAAAAAGACAGAATATAATATATATATATATATTAATTTATTTATTTATTAGCTATTTTCTTATTTATATTATTTACATGTCCGGTCATGTCTAATAAACCAATATTTAATTACAATTTGAAGTTCTACCCATGTAATTTTTAAGAATTTAAATGTGCAACTTATTTACTATAATAATAAATAAACAATATTCAAAATAGAGCAAAGTTAATGTGAAAAAGTGGCAAACTTGATGCATATTATATAAAGTTGATGTGACATGCATTTAAATATAGCATATGGTTCATGTGATGATATTAAATGGATAAATGTATGAGATAATATATAGTTTAGTATGAATAATATAATTAAATTACTAAGTTGAATAGCTTTGTTTGTGTAGGATTCATCACTTCGATGAACATGTTTAGAGAAGATGCTCCATTCTTGGTATTTTCTTCTTAGTGTTTAAATTTCATATACTCATTCGTTCAGTTGTTTAGTATATTATAAAAGTCATATTACTCGAAGGGGGCATGCTGCAAGAGCGTAGGAGACATCACTAAAGGGCAATGACAACTATTTGATTCTACGTTGCTAGATTAAGATTCGCAAGATGAAAAAGACTTCGATTGCCATTGTATCAGGTGAAGATAGCAAGACTCAAACCCTATAATATAATCGTTATGAGCGGTATGTCTCAACGAATTATATAAGAACATGTGAATCTCGAAAAATCCTGCCTCACTAAGCAACCACACAAAGGGGAAAGTTCTATCCTTTCCTTCCCCATTTCAAGAGAAACTCATTTTTTTGGACAAGAACAGCAAAAACAACGCCATTACTAAAAATGGAACTCATTTGATGTTAGCGAACCCTAGGGATAGCTCTGCAAATCAATGGAGTTTGCATTTCCAAAGAGAGTTTGAGACATTCTGACAAGTCAACGCCATTAATGCCCTTTTCAGAGGGAACCCACTTGAAAGCTTGAAGAAACTGAGCCAACCAGAGATGAACAGTGGCCAATCCCATGGCTTTTCCAGGGCACACTCTTCTCCCTGCCCCAAATGGAGCCAATCTCAAATCACTTCCCATAACACTCACTTCCTCTTCCATGAACCTATTTGGCTTGAACTTCTCAGCCTCTGACCAAACCTTTTCGTTGTGTGTTATTGCCCACATGTTCACCATCGCCGTCGCCCCGGCAGGAATCAGCCTCCCGCCGACGTCCACGTCGTTGACTGCGAGCCTGGCCCATGATAGAAGTGGACCTGGTGGGTGCAGTCTTAAACACTCTTTGACAATGGATTGAAGAAATGGAAGATTTGGGATATCAGAATCTGAAATGGGTTTGGATCTTTTGCCGATTACTGAATCGATTTCGTTTTGAGCTTTGGTTTGGATTTCTGGGTGTAGAACCATTCGAGCTATGATCCATTCCAACAGTATTGCGACTGTGTCTGTTCCTCGAAAAATCATTTCCTGTCCAAAATTCGATAGAAAAAGTCATGAAATGAATTGCTTTACACTCAAGTTAGCGCCTAAATTGATGAAAAAAGTGGAGCAAGAACAGGAAAAGGACATACCCAAAGAACAGCAATCATGTCGGAATCTGAGAGCTTGTCATCTTTCTCCATATCAAGTAGGACATCAACAAAGTCTCGATTATGTTCTTGTTCTTGTTCGTGTTCTTCGTGTTCGTGGTGTGGCTTAACTTTCCTCCTCATTCTATGTTCGTCAATGATTTTTCCCACAAAAACATTCACTTTAGAAGCCAAACACCTACATCTTTTCCTCACACCTTGTAAATCCAGCCAACCCAGAAAGGGAAAATGATCACTCCAATTGAAAATCCCAAGCAATTCATACCCTTCACTCACCAGTTCCTCAAGCTCAACCCCATCCTTCCCCAATCCACTAAACTCATAACACTTACCAAAAACAGTCATCATAACATTATTCAAAGACCCAAAATGAAGAATCTCCTTAACTCTAACTTCCCCATTCAAAGCCATGGAATTCTCAACTTCCCTTATCATTTTCCCTCCAACTTCCCTTCTAAACCCTTCAAATGCACCTATTCTCTTAGGACTAAACATATAAGTAGCTGAAATCCTTCTCAAATTCCTCCAATACTCACCATAAGGAGCAAACCCCATTGCTCTGTGGAAAAGAAGTTCATAAGCGGATTCCTTCACAGGCCTATCAGCAAAGGAAGCGCTATTGAGAATTTCCTTGGCAAAATCCGGGTGGCTTGAAATTACGAATTTGGTTAGGCCAACAGAGAAGGCCATTAAAGGGTGTGCTTTGAATTTATTGGAAAGTGCAGAGAGGGCTTTGTGAGGGGTTTTTGAGAGAGTGAAGACATGGAGGAGACCGATGAATGGGAAGCCGGAGGGCCCCGGGATGGCGGCAGAGGCGGCGGTTTTGGACTTGGAAAGGGCCCAAGCGAGGCCGCCGGGGTGAAGGAAGAAGGCAAAAATGGAGAGAAGCAGAAGCGCGGAGAGAAGGGCTGGGAAGCTTTGGGAAATGGAAGAAGGGAAATGGAGAAGAAAGGTTTGGAAGTTTGGTGATGACATGGTTGGTTGAGTCTGGTTTGGCGCCAAGTAGAAGACAAGGAGACGACTGGAAATGAGAGTGGGAGAGGGGTTAAATAGAAACGGATTTTTAACTATGGTTAAAAAAAATAAATTAACCAAGGTTAAAATAATTGGGAGAGAGAGAAAGAGAGAGTTTTATATATATATATATATATTTTATTATTATTATTAAATTTAATTTTTGATTCTCAAATTTGTAGTGTAAGCTTTTAAATTATAGTTTTTGGTTCTCAACAGGTTTACATTTTTCAATCATACATTCATCATTTCAAATATTTATTTTTAGTATTGAACTATTTAAATTTCATAAAAAAAAACTAATTCATCAACTTTCTCACTTAAAATGAAATATAAAAAATGCGAAGATAAAAAAAAAGACTGGCACAACCTTAGCTTTTTATTATTCTACACAAAAATAGAAATTTGGAGGGATTAGCAATTTGACATGGAAGCTTTTTGAGTGATAGGGAGATGTCGAATGATTGTCTTTTTATCGAATAATTCTTTAAATTTTATGACTGTTCGTAAAACATGTCTCAAATATAGAATCTTTAGAGATTTTGCAAGATTACCCACTAATAGAAATTAAGAATAGATATCATAAGTTAGAGGTCTAATCAGATGAAATCGAAAGGAATGATACTTGAGTACACACTGGTGTGTAGCTATGGTGTGTAGCTACCTTCCTACCAACCGTTTTTTATAGCTAAATGAGAGTACGAAAATGAAAAATTAAAACTTGTTTACTAATTGTCAAAATTTTAATAGGGTATATAAGAAGAACTATATATATAAAACACAACAAAGTATTATGTGTAGACAATTAATGTTCAAGAATTTTTAATAGGGTGTGAAGAGAGATACCTACACACTGCACGTAGATGTGTAGCCAAACAATGTTCTAAGAGAATAAATCCCTCCCCCAAACAAGCATCAAACAAGCACCTGTCCACCTGTTTAGAATATCACACAACCAGTAAATCCCAAAACTCAAGAACTTGCAGTATGATACCATAATCAAAGTGGACAGACTAAACAATACTTTAATCTAAACATAACCTTAACACAAGGTACAAAAACAAAGATAAAATAAAGACAGGTTACGGAATAGATATATATATATATATATATATATATATATATATATATATATATATATATATAACAAAGAAAACACACAAGCGTGGGAACAGAACAGAGACACTTCGACAGATTATCTCAGAAGAGAGTAAATAAGTAATAGATTATTTGTACGATCAGTGGAAATAAATACAGTGGGCAGTGTGGCCACACTTACATTTACACTGTCACACACAATTCCCATTACGGCGCCGCCCTACTTCCTTGTTTCTTCCATGTCTCACTCTCAGGACAGAATCCCAACCTTTTTCTCTTCCCCAACTGGGACTATAGATCCATTATGCTATTTGGCCTACCTTTGTCATCAACAATGCCACCAAATCTGATATTGCATGTTATATTTTTCGCTCCTAGACATTGATTTAATTATAATATCTCCAAAAGTACCTAAACTTTATAGAAGGGGGAGTGTGCTTCTGTAGATGGGATGGGATATCTTTCTAAAGGGAAGACTGTTTGAAGAGAGAATAAGAAGAAACATATCTATTAAGGAAGGTTGCTAAACTTATTGCTAAACTTAGAAGAGAAAGATAATAAACCTTTCTATTACTTTTGCATTATATACTCCCTCCCGTAATATTATAATGTTTTTGGACCTTAGGTTATTTTTAATGATTCTGACATGACTATAATGGTATGGAACTATTTTATTGTAATGGTGAAATTCTTCCAAGAAAATATATATACTTCTTAGGTAGAAGTGTACTAGAAAGAGAGAGAGTTAGCATTTTTTTTTTTCCAAGAGAAATGTGTTTCCTAGTTCTTATAGACCCAAAAATACTTTCCCAAAATATTCCACCCTTTCCAAGTTTATTGATTTTATAATGAGAAGTATAGGGTTCTGTGTTACCATATCCCACCATCAGTAAGATTTTAGTATGGACCAAACAAAATGTCAGGACTGACTAACCCAATTGGAATATGTTGTTTAAACCGATGGAGAGAGATGTCTTTTAGTGAGTTAAAGAGACATTGTTTTTATAGAGAAGTGCAACAAAGGATCATACCTTTTATAGAAGTAGAATAAAGAAGGCTTCCCTTTTCCTTTTTTTGAGAAAGAGAGGCCTAATCATATGAAAATTTTAATGAACTATGGTGAAGAACACAATCCTGAATTTATGCATGTTCGTTTTAACCTTTCTTCAATCTCAACTAGATACTTTTAAGAAATAATAATATAGTTTACAATAAAACCCTGCAACTATTCTCTACATTTACGGCTGAGATAATGGGCTCAAGCTTATCAAATAAATTTGCTCAATGAAAAATGTATGACGTCGGATCGTCTAAAGTTAATAATGGCTGTCTGTTACATACCTTATCAGGAGAATATTCCGTGGCATCCATGAACGAAGTCAGCATGGAGATGGACGGTGATGAGCTGGTTGGGGTCGTATTCCCATACTTTGCTATGGATTATCAACGAGACCTATTGAAAGACAAGATTTAAGACCCAAAACAGTTCAGACACGCAAGTGGTTCCAAATCGCAATGCAACGCTAGGAGCAAAAGGGTAATTATGTAAAGTGTAAGATAGCAAGTTGCAAGAAGACAAGATATGGGTGGGATCTGGTTGATTTAACACCTTCATCTTACTTATCAAGAAACGTTAACCTTTTGGAGATGGAGGTGCAGGAATTATTCCCCATTTCGCCCGCACGTCATCCAAATCCTCGTGGAAGTGTCGCTCATAATATATGCACATGAGATCATTGCACCGCATGCCAGCACGGATGGCCCAAGGGAAGTAGTGCAGGAAGAACAAATTTCTCTGTTTATCATTGAACCTTGCTGTGCCTCCCAAAACGGACAGCATGCACATTGGGAGGTGCATTTGCTCAAATTCAATAACCTTCAATGCCGACTCACCAATCAAGTTGGTGGGAAGACCAAAAAGCGTGTGCCAAAAGTCATGAACCTCGCGAGCTCGCATGGCAACATATTCCAGTTCGTCAGTATCCATGAACCGAACAGGAGGCCGGTCATCTGGAGAAAAGTTCCTGGAACCCATAAAATTGGCATATGCAGAGCCAAATGTGTTGGATGGAAGGTCCCACGCATGCCCAACTTCTGATGATAAAACACGTGGTCGCTCCAACAACACTGCCTGTAGAAGAAATTTGTTTTGTTTCATACTCAAATGGACGACTCACGAAAGCCCATACATGGTACCAAGGAATTTCAAGAGATTCTAGTCATACAACAGATGAAAAATAAATTTAGAAAGCTGAAACTGGAACATCATGATAAAGTTCATTTGGGACAAGTAACATGACGGAAAGGAAATAACTGAGCGAAAATGACGATCTCTCAATAAATTTGAAATGTTGATGCCTTCCATATTAGCCAAATGGAAAAAATGAAACAATTTAACCAGGCAAGAGAATGAAATAAAAGAAACTAAAATATTCATTTGAAATGGTAAATTGAGGTTCCAACTTAGTTGCATTGCTCCATATCATGTGTTCTAGAGCATTTCCAATACCAACACTTCGGTTAAACTAGTGTTTCATGTTTTTGTTTCCAAGAGAGGAAAGGAAGCCTTGATGGGGAGGGGAAGAAAGTAATGCATGAGCTTCTCAGCCAATTACATTATCCAATAGGAATACACAAGAACATCAAGTCAATAACTTACAAGTCCCAATTCATTCTCAAAAATGAATTTAAAGAAGAAAAACTAAACCAAGTTGTTTCTGCAGCAATCAAATAAAAGCAATTCCATCAGTTATACAAGATAACCATTCTATTCCTTTTGTATTCTTCATCTTATTAAATATAAGCATATTAGGTTTTTCATTTTTATTCCATGAGAAAAGACTTGCAAACCACGAAGGAATATGAAACATGGAAATATTAAACATAGTATTACAAAATTAAGAGCTTACTCTGCCTTCATCACTTCTTTTCATCCTCTCGAGGACTCTTTCAAATGATGGCTTTCCGGTTGTCTCCCCAAGAGCTGCTATTAGATCTGCTCGGCGTGGATCAAGCAAGGCGCCTACTGCTGAACCAAGTGCAACAGCTGCTTGCTGCCATTTATTTAGCTGGATACGTACACCTACCATATCCAACAGTACCTTTTTTTTTTCTGTTTGCTGTAATGAGGGGGGAAAAAAGATAAAAATGCTCGATCATTGAAGACCATAACGAAACCATAAAAAGTAATTTACTAGATACGTACAAGTTCAAACTAACCAACAATACCTTCAAAAATTGGCTATTTCTCTTCATCAGAAGTTCTAAACCATACTTCAACAATGAAAATATAAAAATACCTAAAACCAAATATCAAGTATACAAAAATCTTAAGTAATTTTAGACCTAAATAGAGGCTATCTAGATAGAATAGATCACAACTCCAGCCAAGAGAAGGTACATATTAAATTAAAAGAGAAGTAATACTTAACAGAACTTGGCACTTTAGGAAGCATTTCTCCTAACACTTGCTATACAAGGGGAATATGTGTCATATGCTGAGAGTAGGATTTTTAGAGAAATATCAAGGGAATGCTGGCTCAACAAAACTTGGAAATTATTTGTTTGGTCATTGAAGTGTTGAGATGTAAAGAATGCCCTACCTTAAAAGAACGTAAAGTACAGCAAAAGGCTACAGCACAGTGTGACACCAATGTTTAAAGCAAATTCACTAGCAGAAAAGTCATCATCTACTTTAGGATCAAAATTAATTTAGCTTAAATGTCTAACCAGATCCCAACCTCTCTTCTCTACGAATAATGAAAAAATCTTGAGAGGCTAAAAGATAACTGCGACAAACTATAGGCCGTCTGATTTCAATAGACTCCATGACTAACAGTAGATAAACAACAAAACCATCTGCAGAAATAGTTAGCTTCTGCCTGAATATCAGCAACATCATAATATCTCATAGCTTATCCTTGCAACATAACATAAAACTATGGATATGATGGTAATAAAGAAAAAAAATATCCTATAGAGCGAACTCCACCACTTTCGCAATCGATCTGTTCTCACTAAATTGTCCAGGATTTCTCGAGTAAGTAGTAAGAGCAAATCATTCATTAGTACGAACGTGATTCTCTGGAAAACCGATGTCGAGAAATATATTCAAAACTCCATAAATTTCCCCGTAAATCAACAAGGAAACCAAAGTTGAATTAAGAAAAACTAATGACATCAGAGTCCAAAGTAAATCCAACACCGAGAATTGCCAAACGAAAGCCGCGACACGTTCGACCAAACAAAAATCAAATAGAAAAGCTGAATCAAATTGAAATATAGGCCATGAATCAGCTGATTGAATCGGTTGAGCACGCAACACCAAATTTTACAAACGCATTGAATTGTCATGCTATGCAAACACATACAAGCAGTTTCAGAAAGAGACGCTAATTCAGTAATAACAATTGATAATATAATCGACCGAAAAAACGTTATCATTGAGCTAAGAAGCGAGAGGAAAGACTGCGACTAAAATTTACAACACGAAACGAAATGAATTGAAACGAAACGTGATTACCTTTTCTCCGAGCAATTCTTCGAATGAGATTCAATCAGGGAGCAAGAGAAAGTGAAAGCGAACGTTCCTGATCCAGATTGAGAGAGTTAAAGAAGGCAATAGAAATGATTCTATGAATCGAAGAGCGGGAGAAAGGTCCAGAACGAACAAATGCCACCAAGGGAGAAGCGGGAAGGAATTAAGAGAGCAGTGCGAAGAAAACATTTCCGCCAAAAACTATTTTATTTTTCTCTTTTGGTCAATTGTGTTGCAACTTACATGGTCATTATTCTATTGGGCCTTGTTAAGTTGAAAGCCCAATAACTTCCATTATGTTATTGGGCCAAGATTTAGTTTTGGAATGGACTTTCAAACAGGCCCACAATAAAATAAATGGCATGGACGTTATCGATTTGATTAGAAGCACAATTTAATCTAACGAGCTCGCTACGGTTCGTATTGACACGTATCTCGGTATAAAAATATAACCGAGGGTCAACACTTACCCTGTTTTAGTTTTCAAGAAAGATGAGTCTTGTCCATTAGCCTACAGTCGTTTCACATGGTCCTAATGGGCTCGGCCACCTATCACTCTTTCTTTTTACTGGGCTCCCCCGCAATGACAAAAGAACCAACCAGTATATCAACCTCGATGAATTACAAATAATGAGATAGGGTAAATAAGGGTTTCTAAAGTCAACCCTTTACTACCTGCTGGACCGACCTTTTCCTCATTTTAAAAAATATACCTAAATAAATGAAATGGTAGCTATTTATTGGAAAGAATATCCGAAATAAGTCTATATATTAAATATTAATAAATAATAATAATAATAATAATAAAAAAAGAGTAAAAATAGGATATTTATGATTTATGAATAATAATTTTGGGAGTTGGAACTGAAATCGAGATATATTCGGTGGAGACGTGTCGAGTTGTGATGACAGCTGGAGTGGAGCAGTGGCTTTTGACAAGAAATCAAGTGGGGCCCACTTTTTACAGACCAATATGAGTATTCTGACTCTTGGCCAATCACAGCTCGACACGTTTTCTACACCTAATCACCCCAACTCACCCCCTCTTTATGCTTTCCATTGTCCTTATCTTATTTGCACTTTCGTCCTCACTTTTTACCATATTAACTAAAATACCATGATTTTTCCCTTTATTTTATTAGTGGCTAAATTGTATTTTAAAATTATAATATTTTATATTATGACCATTTTAACAATATATTAAAAAATTGGCTAAATTATCGTAGCTTAATTGTTACGAGACATTATCGACTTATCCTACATTTTAAGGGTTGGAAATTTTATTTTGCATAAAAAAGGACCTAATTATAAAGAAATTATAATATTTAGTGAACCGCAATAGCTTAGGGTATGCAAACAAAAATGTAGCGTGTGACGTATATAAAAACTATATGCTAAAAATGATTTGTATGGAAATGGTTTGAATGCATGTATGAAAAAGATTAGACCTTTGAGCAATGATCTAACAAGATTCCACTTTTGATAGTTCCATATCACTATGATATATGAGTGGCCCATAGTTAATAATTAGGGCACTATATTTTAATGCTTTGAGCATATATTAAAAGGAAAAATATTATATTAAAATATTTGAACCATTTTTTGTATTTTTAGATAATATTTTGTGGGTTTTTTTTTTAATTAAAAAAATGACGGGTGGACATAATATTTAGTGTGAGATCTCATATTGGTTGGAGAAGAAAACGAACATTTCTTATAAGGGGTGGAAACTTCTCCTTAGTAGATGCGTAATGGGAAAGCTCGAGAGGGAGAAACCCAAAAACGTTTAGGGAAGCCCAAAGAGGATAGTATATGAATGAGTACCAGTTTTACTGTGCAACTCTAAAAGACGTGTGTGAGGTTGACGACGATACGTAACGAGTAAAAGCGGACAATATCTGCATGGTACTAGAGCCAGACACTTTACGAGATAGATTGAGAGATGACGACGATACGTAACGGGCAAAAGCGGACAATATGTGTAATGGTATCAGAGCCAGGCTCCGAGTGGAAGTGGGTTGTGTGATCCCACATTAGTTGGAGAGGGAAACGAAGCAAACGTCTCCCTACTGGCCCTTAACGGGATAACCCGAGGGGAAAAACCCAAAAACCTTTAGGGAAGGCCCAAAGAGAATAGTATTTGAATGAGTACCGGTTTCACTGTGCAACTTTAAAACACGTACGTGAAGCTAACGACGGTACGTAACGGAGCCAAAGCGGACAATATCTTAATGGTACCAAAGCCATGTACTTTACGAGGGTGGATTGTGAGATGATGACGATACAAAACGGGCAAAAGCGGACAATATATGTATGGTATCAAAGCCAAGCACCGAATGGACGTGGGTTGTGAGATCCCACATTGGATGGAGTGGGAAACGAAGCAAACCTCTCTCTACTGGCCCTTGACGGGAAAATCCAAAGAGGATAGTATATAGATGAGTGTCGATTCAGTCCAACCCTTAAATTTATAGGGGCAACTATGGAAGCATCTTTATGGTACTTTGTGCATGTGCTAGGGCTGTCTTAGTGTAGAGTGTGTGAGTCCAAAAACATAAACACATCAAGCTCTTGTGCCAAATTCATGTCAAGATATTGCTTTCTTACTATGTCTTTTCTTTGCTTCTTGTTTGATACAATGAAGGGAAGAAGCCAAAAAATTGAAAAGCAAAAGGCAAATTATTTTAGTTGATTTGTTGGATTTCTTTACACCATTCAATAAACCGATTGGACTCGTTGTGTACAACACGTACTTGAGAGTTCTTTGTGCTGGTCGGGATTATCGAGAGTTTATCAGTGAAATGGTTTTGTCAATCGATTTAAAATAAAACTAGGTTTAGCCAACAACCAACTCGTTTACACACTTTTAGGTTACAAACACTGTTTAAGCATATCTCGCAGCTCAACTACGAAAACATGTCATGTCAACATTTCGTTAATAAAACTCGGGCGACCGAGACCAAATGGTAACTTTATGTTTTGTTAATAATATTCGGGCAACTGAGACCACGGTAGCTTTGTGTTTTGTTAATAATACTCGGGCCACTGAGACCAAATGGTAGCTTTATGTTTTGTTAATAATACTCGGGCGACCGAGACCAAATGCTAGCTTTATGTTTCGTTAATAATACTTGAGTGACCAAGACCTGGTGATCGAGACTGAATTAGCTTTATGTTTCATTAATAATGCTCGAGCGACCGAGACCGAATGATAGCTTTATGTTTCATACTATAAATGAGACACATTAAATGAATTTCTCAAAAAAATTTGGAGGTTGAGAATCAAAACATTATCCGAAAGTGTGCTCTATTTAGTCTTGGACCTAGTTTTATTTCTTTTTCAACGTCAATCACCCAAAAAGGTCGCCTTTGGAATGGAATAGAAACATGTAATGCGAATTTACCATCCACTCCTCCTCCCTCTCTTTTAAAAGCAGCCAACCCATGTAATATTCAAGTTTTGTCAAGGGTATAATCATCATTTTACAAAAGTAACTTGAGACAACAGATAGTGGTATAAGGGTCACCACCACTCAAATGTTGACACGTAATGACCCAACAAGCTTCAAATGGCTGTAGGATTAGGGCTTCAAACACCCAAAGAGATGACAGTGGGGCCCACTTTTTTAAAAATGGAATTTTTTATTTTTATGTCTTAAAATTGAATTATTTCTAGTTTATTTTTTAGGGTTAGACCTCACCATATAACTATATATTGTTGTTCATTTCAATACAAAAAGATTGCTATTTGTGATTATAATCCTAGGAATAAAACTTAAATCTTTCATAGAGAAAGAGAAATTTAAAACGAAAAAAGTCGACCCAATGAATTTGAACTTTATCGAACGTTTTAAGTATCTTAACTTTCTAAGTAATTTTCGGGTTGACGGTTGCTAATTCTAACAACCCAAGTCCAACGATAGCACATATTGTCTGCTTTGACCCGTTACGTATCACCGTAAGCCTATTAGGGGAGAGATTTCTACACCCTTTTAAGGAATGTTTCGTTCTCATCTTCATCCAATGTGGGATCTCACAATTTACCCCATTGGGGGCCAAACGTCCTCACTGGCACACCGCTCAATGTCTCGCTCTAATACCATTTGTAATAGCTCAAGCTCACCGCTAGCAAATATTGTCCACTTTAGCCCGTTACGTATCGCCGTCAGCCTCACGATTTTAAAACACGTCTTTTAGGGAGAGGTTTCCACACCCTTCTAAGGAATGTTTCGTTCTCATCTTCGTCCAATGTGGGATCTCACAATCCACCCCCCTTGGAGGCCAAACGTCCTCGCTGGCACACCACTCAGTGTCTGGCTCTAATATCATTTGTTGCAGCTCAACCTCACTGCTAACAGACATTGTTCACTTTGGCCCATTATGTATCGTCATTAGTCTCACTGTTTAAAACGCATCTTTTAGGGAAAGGTTTCCAAACTCTTATAAGGAATGTTTCGTTCTTCGGTGAAATCTCTCGCTACTATGTAAATACACAATCACTGAAGAAAAAAATTACCAATTTGAACATAACTCAACTGGTTAAAATATAAATACTCGATCAAGAGGTTAGAGACTTCAACGGTCGCTATTAGGGTTTGTTGTAAGTGTCTTATCTACTGGGTTATACTTAAATTGTCGGGAAAAGCTGACACAAAAGGAGACCGTGACAATGAATTACAAGCTACATAAAGTTAAAGGGGTTTATGAATATGGGATTCTCTTCTCTCTCTAGGGTTTTGTAAGAGAGAGAGAGAGAGTTATAAATAGAACAAGTTTAATGCAAAAAATTAAATTTTTAAAAAGAAAAACAAAATGGGAAGAGGTAAGGTGGAGCTGAAGAAGATAGAGAACAAAATAAACCGACAGGTGACCTTCACAAAACGAAGAAATGGCCTTCTTAAAAAGGCTTATGAGCTCTCCATTTTGTGTGATGCTGAGGTGGCACTCATCGTCTTCTCCACCGGTGGCAAGCTCTATGAATTCTCCAGCTCTTCCAGGCATGTCTCGATTCGAATCTCTAACCTTTTTTGCTCGGAGCGTTCGTGTAGCTCCGTGCTTGATTTGATCTGTTTATGTCGAACTCGAGACGGGTTCTTTTCGTTAACCAATTGCAGTATAGCCAAGACGTTGGAGAGGTATCAAAGACATAGCTATGGAGCTTTGGCAGCCTCCCATCATCTCAAGGACACCGAGGTCATTTCTCGTCTTTGCTCGATTAGGTTTAGTTACATAAAATGGGACCCAATTATGTTCGGTAAAAGTGATTTTAACTATTTCAAAATTACTCTCGTGCCCTTGGTCGGAATGTTTTTGGACACAGAAATGGTACGAGGAGTATTTGAAGCTGAAAGAAGAAGTGGAAGGTCTGCAGCATTCACAGAGGTGGCGCAACCCTCCTCCTCCGCCGTGGGAGGATCTTCTTCAAGCTGTTCTTCATTCTTATTTAATTATTTAATTTTAAAAAAAAAACCCTTTTTTCTCTTAATTAATTATTATTTTTGTGTTATGTAGACGAATTCTTGGAGAAGAATTGGAAGATTTGGAGACGAAGGAATTGGACCAACTCGAAATTCAATTGGAAACGTCTCTGAAGCAAATCAGGTTCACTAAGGTAAAATTAATGCTCGAGTTCAACGAGCGGAGGTAGCAAATTCGAACCCGATCTTGTGATCAAGGGCACAAATTTTATGACCGTTGAGTTATGCTCGGGTTTTTTTTTAATTAATTATTGTGAATTATTGAAATTTTGCAGAACCAAACGGTGTTTGATCAGTTATCTGAGCTAAAAAAGAAGGTAATTTTTTTTTTTACCGTTGGATGTTTGAAATTAAATGGGTTAATTTTCTTCATTTGTTTATAGGAAGAATTACTGCTGGAAACTAATCAAGCTTTGAGGAGGAAGGTATGGAATAATTAAGTGCACTAATTAATTTATTATGAAATTTAATATTTATTTGGTTGAAATTAGGTTAATATATTAAAAACATCCAAGAATTGATGATGACGTGATTTTTTTTACTGCACTGAGTTACCCCTAAACTTAGTGGTAGGTAAAAAAAAATCTTTATTATTTAACCTGTCGAGTCTCGACTTGAACCCGCCAGAAATGAGATGGGTAATTCTAGTTTCTGTATGAAAGTACCACGTCGTCGGCTAATTTAGGGAATGATTATGGATTTATAATTAAAAAAAAATACTCTCTCCATCGGAATGAGGCCTTTTGGGGAAGCTCAATGCAAAGCCACAAGCGCTTATACTCAAAGTGGACAATAACATACCATTGTGGAGACTCGTGTTCATCTAATATGGCATCAGAGCCCATAGTATCAGAGTCATGCTCAAAACTTAGCTATGTCAATAGAATCCTCAAAAGAAAAAGGAGTCGAACCTCGATTAAAGGGAGGTGTTGGATGAAAGTCCCATATCGACTAATTTAGCGAGAGTCGTGATCCTACTCGGTGGACACGTGTTTTGAGAATTTAATGTCAATTGTATGCAAACTCAAACGTAGGAAGGAAACATCGAACCTTCAACCTGACAGAATGTAGTAAACGTTTTATTAAATTCGATACAAATCATAAACCCACCAACGAAATCGAACAAATAATCAAAAACTCGAGCTTCACGAACCTAGATTCATTAAAACCGTGACCCGAACATCCTAACCCTAATATGTGGCTATGTATTCCTTTGAATGGGCAGTTGGAAGAAAGCAGTGCAGGTCTTCATTCATCATGGGAAGCTTCGGAACCCAACAATTTGCATTACTGTGGACAACCTGAGGCCTTTCTTCAAGGCAATAATATTGCATTGGAAAATAGGTAAAATTTTATATTAATTATCATAAGTAAATAAATTAATTAAAAAAAAACCCTTTATTTATTTATTTTATATAAATTTAAATATCTAATTTAATTTATGGGTTATTTATAGTTACAATCCAGCAGAGGTTTCAAATCAAGAAAACGCCATAAACTCTGAGCCAGAAGGTAATGAGTTGCCTTCGCATTGGATGATGCTTTGATCTTATCTTATAAAAATATATTACATTAAACCATACTCTATTTCAACCCATTGTGACAATAATATATGTAGTAATTAATACATGAACCATATATATGATGCTCGATTTTCATCTAATTTTTTGTTCTCGGATTCGGTTGAAATATGGTTACGTTGTTTAATTTCTTCGAGTGAAGACTGATTTTGGATAGCGAGATTTGAACCTCTGATCTTGTGATCGAGAGAAACTCATTTTGACTTTTGATTTCTCTGGTTGACTTTTGGTCTTTTTAGTTGAACGTTGCTAAAAATATGTTGAAAATTGTAATTCTCGATTGTATGATTGTATCACAAATCTTAGATATCGACCTGAGTACAACTTAACCGATTTTGACATTAAATTTGTCATCAATGAATCAAAAGTTATTAGCTATTAAAAAAAATAATGGTTTGTAAAATTATAGGACATAAAAATAAAATATTCATTAATTAAAAACTTGAGCTACTCATTTTTACCATAAATGTAGTCAAAACCTTCCGCAATAATTCAAGAATCCAATGAAATTACTTCATAGTGTACAAAATATATATATATATATATATATATATATATATATATATATATATATATATATAGAGGGCATCATTAATATTAATTATTATTTTGGGATACGTTTATAATTTAAAAAAATATGACATTGTCGAGATGTTCAGACAAGAAAATCTTCTTTATCTCTGTCCGTATCTCCTATTTCAATATTCATGTTGAGACGAGAAAAATAATATATATATAATATATATAATAAAAGGAAATAAAAAAAATATAATACCATTGTTGTGATGTCCCACATTGGTTGGGGAGGAAAACAAACGACCATTTATAAGGGTGTGGAAACCTTCTCCTAGCATATTTTAAAGCCTTGAGGGGAATCTCGAAAGGAAAAGTCCAAAGAGGACAATATTTGCTAGAGGTGGATCTGGGTGGCTACAAATGGTATCAGAGCCAAACACCACACGATGTGTCAGCCTTCCCGCTATTCCCCGAAGAGGGTAGACAAGTGGTGGTGTGCCAGTAAGGATGCTGGCTTCCAAACGGGGGTGGATTTGGGGGCGGTCCCACATCGATTGGAGGAAGGAAAGAGTGCCAGCGAGGACGCTGGGCCCTGAAGGGGCCTGTAGGAAGGTGTATTGTGATGTCCCACATTGGTTGGGGAGGAGAACAAACCACCATTTATAAGGGTGTTGTGAGGGGAATCCCGAAAGGGAAAGCCCAAAGAGCCGAAGGGGGTGTGGATTGTGATGTCCCACATTGATGGGAGGAGAACAAACCACCATTTATAAGGGCGTGGAAACCTTCTAAGTTTAACCTTCTAAGTTTAAATTTACGCTCTTTAAATTAAATAAACATGGTAAAAAAAGTTATTGCATTTATTAAAATTAAAAACTTTGAAGGGGGTGGGGAGTTTAATAAATGCAATACAGATGTGAATTTAATCCATAAAATTGAACATACGAATATAATGAAATAATTTGTACTAAATGCTGGTGAATGATTGTAGAAATAATTAAATTCGTATATCAAAATTTAACTCTTTTTTCCAGCTTTTAACGTTATTTTTTTTAAATTTCATTTATTTTGGCATGATTTTATAATTCTTGTTGATATTATTAATTTAATTATCGATATGTCTATTAAATAACCAAAATAGTGTAATAAATTAGACATAATAAGACAAAATAAAGTGCATTACATTACAAAAATAGATTTCATACGTACGTTTGTACATCTCACTTTATTTTTTGTTCAATTATTATCATTATTATTTGTCTATCATTTTATTTTATTTTTTATTTTAATAAACTCTTGTATTTTTTAATTTCATACTTCAAAAAAAAAAAACAAATCAACAAATCTCTGAATTTAATAGCATTGTGAAGTACACCACTAATAGAAAAGTTTTAAATCAATTTCCTATTGACCTATTTAATTTGTCGGGTTGGGTTCTCAAGGTCCCACCTTGAACGGAATGAAGAATTCCCGTTTAAATTAAGAATGAGAATGAAGCGGGAATAGATTTTTCCTCGTTAGATAAACGAGCTAAGGATGGAGAGTGTATTTCTCTCTTCATCCCGACACCGTCCAAATCCGTACCCTATTGACTTTATATATATATATATATATATATATATATATATATATATATATATATATATATATATATACACATACGTACGTATAAATATATATAAAATAAGTCACGAAAATAGTTTATTATATTATTTGTTTACAATTTTCGTTTTTTGTTTAATAATTATAGATTAATTTGTGTTTGTTTGTGAATTTTTAATAATATTTTAGGTAAGATTGTATTCGAATAATTATAAATGGTGGGTAAATAAAACTTAAAAAAAAATTTGACAACCGAATCCAACCTGAAAACAGAGGGTTGGGTTGGATTATGAAAAGTTTGGGGTTGGATTGGGTTATCAATTCAACCAACCCGAACTTTTGGTTAGGTAAAAAAAATCCCTAAACCCAACCCAATTGGGACCGAACCCGAACCAAATCCGAAAATAGAGGGTTGGGTTATGAAAAGTTTCGGGTTAGGTTGGGTGACCAATCCAACCAACCTAACTTTTGAGTTGGGTAAAAAAAAATCCCCCAACTCGAACCATGTACACATTTTAAAACCATAAGGGCAAAACGAACAATATCTACTAGCGGCAAGCTTGGGCTCTCACATGAAGATTGAAAATAAAAGGTTACCCGTTTTTGTCCCGCCTCATGGACGTTTTTAGCTATTTACAACGTCGGAAAGTGATTTATTCGTGCTCGTTTCAATCGAAAACAAAAGGTTTAAAAAAAATTAAAAATAAATAAAAATTGATGGTCCATCCAAATAAATAAATTTCTCCATTATTATGCGTTTTGTGGTCTAGGTGTTATACGTAAACAGGCGCCGTCAACACGAACCATAAACGCCCTTCTCTATAATAGAAATGGAAATTAAAATAAATAAAATAAATAAATACTTTAATCTGTATCCGTACAAGCGACCCCCACATCTGTTAACGATACACCGAGTTCTTCATCTTTCATTCACCCTATCACCTCTCGACAGCACTTCACCAAAAACCACTTTTCTCCAAAACCACTTTCCGCTTTGAAAACCACTTTTGTTTTCCTCCAAAACCACTTTTTTCCTCTTTCTCTCTCTCCCACCCTGATTCCTTATAACAATAGGCAACAACAGGCAGCAACAGGCAGCAGCCCATTTCCGAAAACCTAATCTTTTTTTCATTTCATTCGGACCCCTTATCTTTCTGTTCTTGTGGTTTGTTTCCCTTTTTCGTGTGTTGTTTTGGGAACTGGGGTTGGTTTGAAAACACAGAGAAAAAAGAAGGGTTTTTAGGCAAAAAAAAAGGGGGGTTTTTTGGGGTTGGATTGTAAAAATGGGAAGAGGTAGGGTTCAACTGAAAAGAATTGAGAACAAAATAAACAGGCAGGTTACTTTCTCCAAAAGGAAAGCTGGTTTGCTGAAGAAGGCTCATGAAATCTCTGTTCTCTGTGATGCTGAAGTTGCTTTGATTGTTTTCTCCCACAAAGGAAAGCTCTTTGAATACTCCTCTGATTCCAGGTCACCCCCCATTATTATTATTTTTTTTGTGTCTTTTTTTTGCTAAATTTAATGTTTTTGTTGTGTTTTTAGGGTTTTTAATGCAAACCCATTTAATTTCTTCATGTTTTCTATAATGGGTCTCTCTTATTTTTTGTTTTTTGTTTGTTTTTTTTTTTTTTTACCTTAAATTTCTTTTCAATTTTGGTTATAAGAATGTGTTCATCTTTGGATTCTCCCTTTTTCACCCCATGGCCCCAAATATGGCTATTTCTTCTGATTTCCTGCTCCTCACTGCCACTTAACTCACACTTCCTTTATCGATTAGGGTTTTTCTTTGTATCGTCATGCCCTATTCGCTTTAACTTTTGGGTTCGGTGGTGATTTTGTTACACCGATCTAGCAAATCCCATAAAGCTTTCGTCTCCGACCCATTAATTTGTTTTTTTTTTCTCTCTCTCTACACGTAACACCGACTTTTTTTTTCTTGAAATTCAATAAAATCGTAAAATCGAGCGAAAAGTTACCATGAAACTTGGGTTTTTCTTAAGGCTTGTCATGATCGAGTGCCTAAGCTTGTGGGTTGAGTTGTGATTTAATAAAAGCATGAAACTTTTAGCTTGCTTTCTATGTTAGCTCGAGCGGGTTCTTTGATTTCGATCTTGGATCAAAATGTTTTGAATTTTTTTTAAATGGGTTATTTTCGATCGAGTACAATAAGGCTTGTGTTTTCCTTACGGCTTGTTATGATCGAGTACTTAAGCTAGTGGGTTGAGTCGTGATTTAATTAGATCTCGATTTAATGCAAGCGTGAAACTTTTAGCTTGCTTTCTATGTTAGCTCGAGCGGGTTCTTGGATTTCAATCTTAGATCAAAATTTTTTGGATTTTTTTGAAATGGGTTGTTTTCGATTGAGTACAATGAGGCTTGAGTTTTCCTTACGGCTTGTTATGATCGAGTATTTAAGCTAGTGGGTTGAGTCGTGATTTAATTAGATCTCGATTTAATGAAAGCTTGAAACTTTTAGCTTGTTTTCTACGTTAACCCGAGCGGGTTCTTCGATTTCGATCTTGGATCGAACCGTTTTGGATTTTTTGAATTGGGTTATTTTTGTATAGTGGAATTGATAATTTCCCCATGAATTTGAGCTTAGGTTTTGTACTTGTGAAGTGGTTGGTAGCAGAACAAAAGAAAGTGAACAGTTGTTGAAGCATGGGAATGAGGATCTAGTTTCCTCTACCCATTTATTTATTTGCATGTGTTCTTCATATACAGTACTTAGACAGTGGTTTGGTAATGATTTTTAAGCCTATAGTTAATTATATATATATATATATATTCAATAGCTTATATTATAAATTATAATGTGTATGAAATTCTTAGGTTTTTAAGTTAAAGGTAAGTCAAATATGTTGTAACATAATGTGTTAAATTGAATTATGACAAAAATAATGAAGTAATTTGAGGAACAGAACAGTAACCTAGTTATCTAGACATGTTTTTTTTAATGTTATTATTGTTTTATTTGTAAAATAATAGGTAAATATTGTTTTTTTGTTTATTGTTCTCTATAATTTATTATTTTTCAACTAGTTTATTTAAAAATAGAATATTATTGAGAAAACAATTTGAAACTAAGGAACGTATCATGTTTTGAAATTAATCAAGGGTTTGTCGGGGGATTTTTATGTTTTTCGTTTATTATAATTATTTTTGTGGAAAGATAAAAATATTCAAGAAACTTAGCTTTTATTAGCAAAGAATTACTGTTTTAATCGTCAAAATTAATTAAAAAAAATATTTTTTATTAATGATTTTGAAAATTGTTTGAAAATATTAAGCAAAACATCCTTAAAATTTACATGTTTTTATGTCATCTCGTATGTTTCTCTGTCAAAAAAACAAAGAAGGAAATGATATTACATGTTATGTTTTATTTTTTTACATGATTATTTGTCAATTTGAGCATAACTCAATTAGTTAACGTATATATATAATTGATTTAGAGGTCAGAGGTATGAATCTCTCGTTTGTACTTATTATTAACTAAAAAAGAATTCATGGCCTTTATTTTATTTTATTAATTTAATAATATATGAACTGAGAGATTCAAATCTCGAACTTTCACGTCGAGAATACATAGCTCGACCAATTGAGCTATACACCGACTTATCACATTGATTTTGCACGTGATCTTTATACACATTGATGAATTATTTTACTCAAATTTCATTTTCCTTCTTCTCTCACACCAAATTTAGGGCTTTCTTCAAGAACAATATAAAATTCTCAACTTTTGGTTGAGAGAAAATATAAACCCTAACCCTAATTGAAGCATTCATGAGTGTTCTAATTCAAAGTAAGAGAGAGAGAGAGATGATTTGATGGGAAAGATGTTATTCTTGTCTAGGACAAGACATGATATAGAACAGTAACACTTAGTGTTTATATGCTTCAAATCTAGGCCCTAACTTTCAAAACCCCTTTGTTATATATAATATTTGGCTGTCAATTCAGCTTAAATCATTTGTAACAGTGATTGGTTGATGTTTTATATTAATGGTTGCTTCTTCTGTGAGAGATTGATACTCAGAGATTGAATTGATGGAGAGAGAGAGATATCATTTAATTTTGAGATCATTATCTGTACTGTTCATAGCACCAATTTTGATTTTCTTTTTCAAATTTGTTTATGATATTAGTTTGAAATCTTGTTTTTTTGGCAAATTTTGGATTAGGGTTTGTGAGAAATTTATGTTTCGAAAACAAAGAAACATGATATCGAGTGATTGAGCTGAAATTAGGGTGAAATTTAGTTTTCGATTTGGAAATAGATCTTGTATGGGTTAAGTTGCTCGAGGTTGTTTCGATTCGTGATCTTGGTTTTTATTGAGCAGATTATTTTAATTCAATAATGTGACGTTGAGATTCGAGCTTCTAACTTAATCACTCTGCTTATGCGTTTGATTTTACAAATTTTGTTGTTGCAGTATGGAGAAAATACTCGAACGATATGAGCGATATTCATATGTGGGCAGGCAACAAATTGCAGCTACTGAATCTGAATTTTCACAGGAAAATTGGACTCTCGAGTATTATAGACTCAAATCGAGAGTCGAACTCTTACAAAGAAACAACAGGTAAGTTCGTATAACGTTTTGAACGTCAAGGTCTCGATCTCTATCTCTCGTTATTAATATCGATATCGTGTGGATGATAATTGAAGTCATTACATGGGAGAAGATTTGGATTCATTAAGCGTCAAAGAACTGCAAAACTTGGAGCAACAAATCGACACTGCACTCAAACATGTTCGTTCGAGGAAAGTAAGGATGTTTGAATTTCATGTTTTTATGTTTTTTTTTTTTTTTTTTTTTTTTGTAATGAATAATATATTTTGGAATTTTTGTTTCAGAACCAACTCATGCATGATTCCATCTCTGCTCTTCAGAGAAAGGCAAATTTCTCTTACTTTTTTCATTTTTTTTAAATCTATAAAATAATTTAATTTTTCGATTTTGTTCTAATTAATTTACCTCACATTCTCATTTATTTTTACCAGGAACGAGCAATTCAGGAACAAAACGCTCTCCTGGCAAAGCAGGTGTTCGTAACATTTAGTTTAAAACGCTATTTTTTTCGTTTTAGCTTTAGCTTACGATGCTTAATTATAATTTATGTTCGGTTAAATGAAATTAAGATCAAGGAGAAGGAGAAGAGTGTAGCAATGGCTCAGCAGGCCGAGTGGGAGCAGCAGCAGCAACATGGTTACAATGCACTGTCTTTCTTGTTCCCATCAGCTCCTCACCCGTCTCTAAACATCGGGTAATCCTTCACTAGTTTTTCGTGTTTGGAATGACTTTTGAAACTCGATAACGTTACGTGTTCTTTGCCTTTTGAACGTATAGGCTTGCGAGCTTTGATGGTCACCTGTGAATCCCATTGCACGTTGGGAGATTCGAGCGATCGGGAAGAAGACGGTGACGGTGACGGTGACGGGGGCGGGTTGAATAATGGAAAATGGAATGGATTAATTATAACCCATATGTGTAATGGATGGGTAATATGTATGGAGGGTTTGTGGTTGTGGAGGTTTTGTTGTGTTAAGTGAAAGACAATATATGAACTACTTTTTGTTGTGTGTTGTTATTTTGTGGTGATATTGTTGTGGCCAAATAAAGTTGTTTCGTTCCCAAGAAAGTGCTTTTTGGAAAAGTTGGTGGCTTTTAGGGTTTAGATTACTTTAACAATGCATGCAATAGTTTTAATGGTAGCTAGGGTTTAGGGTTTCTTTGTAAGCTTTCGGATTTGGATTTTCGTGAGTTTAACCGAAGAAAGGTGATCGTAGTGTCGAGTTTTGTTTATTAATGATGGTATTGGATGACCCACGAGCTAGTTCGGGATATAAGACAGGTACCCTTTATCGAGAGATTAGAGGGTAGAATCTCTCACCTTATAATGCTTTTAACCTAAACAGTGGCACCTGATGATTTTGTAAGTTTACGGGTTTTGTAAACTTTGGAATTTGGATCTTCATGAGTTTAACCCAAGAAATGAGATGTAGTGTCGAGTTTTGTTTACTAATGATGGTATTTGATGACCCACGAGCTAGCTCGGGATATAAGACAGGTATCATTTATCGAGAGATTAGAGGTTCGAATCTCTCACCTTATAATACTTCTAACCTAAAAAATGATACCCGATTACCCTGTAAGCTTATGGGTTTGTATACTTTAGATTTTGGATCTTCATGAGTTTAACCTAAGAAATGAGATCGTAGTGTCGAGTTTTGTTTACTAATGATGGCATTGGATGACCCACAAACATAGCTCGGGACATAAGATAGATACCCTTTATCGAGAGGTCAGAGGGTCAAATCTCTCACTTTATTATACTTTTAACCTAAAAAATGGCACCCGATGACTCTGTAAGTTTATGGATTTTGTAAGTTTTGGAATTTGGATCTTCGAGTTTAACCTAAGAAATGAGATCATAGTGTCGAGTTTTGTTTACTAATGATGACATTGGATGATCCACGAGCATAGCTCGGGACATAAGATAGGTATCCTTTATCGAGAGGTCAGAGGGTCGAATTTCTCACCTTATTATACTTTTAACCTAAAAAATGGCACCCGATGACTCTGTAAGCTTATGGATTTTGTAAGCTTTGGAATTTGGATCTCCGAGTTTAACCTAAGAAATGAGATCACAGTGTTGAGTTTTATTTACTAATGATGGCATTGGATGATCCACGAGCATAGCTCGGGACATAAGACAGGTACCCTTTATCGAGAGGTTAGAGGGTCGAATCTCTCACCTTATAATACATTTAACCTAAATAATGGAACCCGATGGCTCTCTTAACTTATGACGTTTATCAAATTTCATCATGAAGTTTAAATGTCATCAAATTAGATTAGACGTGGTTAAATGAGGTTTAATGAAATTGAAACATCCCCGGATAAAAATTCAAATATCTCTAAATACCAAATAGAATGCGCTGGGCTGGGCTGGGCTGGGCTGTAACTTCATGGGCTTATATTTGGGCCGTCATAGTTTTGGGCCTTATTGGGCCACTTAATTACGGCCCAATGCACTCAAACCGCGGCTTCGTCTCCATGAGCTTTCGATATTGGCGGCTACCATCTGAGGTGACGAAAGGTTGTAGTAGAGAGGTTTCTTCTTCGACCAAAACCCTGCACTGCATAAACCCTAGAGGCATCTGTTCAAATCTCTTCCTTGGCGAATCCATGGCTAAGTTATCAAACCTTAGCTCGAGCAACAATGATAAGAAGGACAAGAAGAGCAAGAAGAAGAAGAAGAGTGCTGGTCCGAAAGCGTTGTCGATGAAGGTCAGTGCTCCGAAGGCGAATCCATTCGAGAGCATTTGGTCTCGTAGGAAATTTGACGTCCTTGGGAAGAAACGTAAGGGAGAAGAGCGTCGTATTGGCCTTGCTCGCTCGATTGCGATTGAAAAGGTAGTGTCTCCCTTGATAATTCTTGTGAACTGATTGATTTTTGCTTTACTTTAGGCAACTGTTGTTTCTTCATTTAGTTTGATCGTTAGGTTTTTAATTTAGTGTGTGTTTTGTGAGGCAGAGGAAAAAGACGCTGTTGAGGGAGTACGAGCAAAGTGGTAAGTCTACAGAATTTTCCGATAAGCGAATTGGGGAACAGGACGAAGAGCTTGGGGAGTTTGACAAGGCTATTTTACGTTCGCAGCGTGAACGGAAGGTGAGTGCATTGGTCTGCTTCGAGCATTTGGTTCTAGCATCGTTTACTGTAATCTGTTCTGATTGCGTTTTTCTTTAGCTAAAATTGAACAAGAGCAGCAAATTTAACTTATCTGATGGAGAAGATGACGATTATTTTGGAAGCAATAGTCTTGGCGCGTTACCTGCAAATGACGATTTTGAGGACGAAGTAATACCTGACGACGATGACGATGCAGAAGCTGCTGAAACTAAGAGTACGTGTAAAATTTTTGCTAATTTATATCACTGCACAGCATGCTTTGTTCATTTTTTCCCCTAATGCAGCCTTATTTTTTTCAGAGCCTAATGCCGTTTTTAGATAATTTTTTGAAAAATGAACTCCGGACTTAGTTTCTTATTATTGGTTATCCCTCTCTTCTGTTGAACTTGGAATCTGTTAATGCCGATGAACACTTAATGGAATACTAGTCCTATATCAGCTTGTTCTTTTGTTTCTTCGGAATATCATTAATACCGCTCATTGTACTATGCAGAAGGGGCTTATCATGGTGCACCATATCCACAAAAAGGTGGTTTATTAGAGGGAGAGGAAAACGTGAGATTCCTTGCTATCTATGTTTTCTTTCGTTTTATGTGATCGACGTATATGGACAAACTGATTGTTTTCATACATGCAGCACACATGTATGTTGTTTGATCTTTTCCCTTTCAGAAATGAAATTTTACAAGTCTTTCCTCTCTTACTTTCAAAGTTATCCCTCTACAGGGAGAAAAAATGTGAAAACTTTATTGTCTTTCTGTTGTTGCACACTCCATACAAGTTTTGTACTACACAATTGCTTTTGTACTTTAGGCTATGCAATGGGTCTGTAGATATGAATGTAGTTGGATGTAAAGACTTGTTGCATGCATGTTTAAGCTCATATATGCGTATCTCTACTTGTTTCAAAGCATTGAGTGTTTCTGAAACCAATGATCTAAATTTACAGAAACGCAAAAGCAAGAAGGAAGTGATGGATGAGATTATCGCAAAGAGCAAATTTTTCAAGGTGAACTTTTTTCTTACCGTCCTGTAGTTGCACCTGTACAAATTCTGATAATTTTCGCTTTCTTTCATTTTTTCCTGAATCTATTCTTTTTATGTGTCAAACTTTTTCTCAGGCACAAAAAGCAAGGGATAAGGAAGAAAATGAACAACTTATTGAAGACCTGGACAAGAAGTTTGAGTCGTTGGTCCAGTCTGAGGCATTATTATCTCTCACTAGTTCTGGTAACGCAAATGCCTTGAAGGCTCTTGTTCAAAAGAGTATTCCAAATGAGCATTTGAAGAAGGATAATTTGCTCGCTACTGGGAAGACTGAAAATTTTAATCAGGTATTAAATTGTATGTTTTCTGAATTTCACCTACTTTATTATGTAGTTCTGTTTTTCTGTCGTCTTCCATCCTGTATCTATTATTATTGTTATTATCTTTTTTAAAATTTAGTAAACAACTTCAGGACTTCTTTGTGTAGTATGCACTCGTTTTCCTCTTTTGGTTATTTTCAATGTTTCCTTTTCTATATATTTATATGTCAACGTCTATCTTTTTTTTTATTTTTTTTTATTTTTAATTATGACATTTTTCATGCTAACAACTTCAGGACTTCTTTCTGCATGATGTAGGAAAAACCTGATGCTTTTGACAAGCTTGTCAAAGAGATGGCAATGGAAATACGTGCACGCCCCTCTGACAGGACAAAGACCCCGGAAGAAATTGCCCAGGAGGAACGGGAACGGCTTGAACAATTAGAGGTATTTTATGATTGTAACCATGTGATGGAGGCCTAGATTTTCTAATACAAACTTTCTTCTTTCCAGTTTGTGTTCTAGTTCAATTCGTGTTTAGGTGAAGGAAAACAGAGTATTTTAATGGTATCTAGCATGTTTGTTAGCTACTATTTGTGTGAATTACGGAAAATGGGTATGTAATATTTTTGAGTTTACTGGTGGATTGTCACTTCAATGCGGTAAGTGCATTTAATGATCTACTCTCTATACCGTGATTGATATTATATTCTATCCAAGTATTGAGGAGTTCCTTTATTTGTATGAACATTTTTTTTTTGCGTCTTGAATTATTTGTAGAATGTAGAATAAGTTTAGTTAGGAATTCTTGTATGTCTATATGAACATTTTCTAGCTTCTTAAGGGATTTGTGGAATGTAGAACAAGTTAAGTTAGGGATTGTTGTATGTCAGTATGATAATTTTCTTGCTCCTTGAAGGATTGTGAAATGTAGAACAATATAAACCTCCTAAACTATGGGGTTGTATCAATAAAATCTCTAAACTAATAATTGACTAATAATTGTTTCAAGTCCCGTAGTTTCACTAGTGTATTAATTTACCCCCTCCATTAGATTCCATTTAAAAAAATTTAGTTCACACGTGCAAAGACTTGTGATTCTATTAATTAACCCCTAAGTGGTCATAAGTGAATCAGGTTAAGCTTTCAATTTGAAAGTCATCAACGCACGTGTAAACTATTTATGAGAAATTAGGAGTTTTATTGATAATTATTACTTTGCATGTGTAAACTAACGTTTTTGAAACGGAACATAACAAAAGGTGTAGATTGGTAAACTCATGATAATTTACTGATATATTGATGTTTGCCCTACATATCATCATCGAAGACTATGAGATGTTTAGTAGCTGACATTTGAGAATTTGACATTTCTGCTTATTAACTTCAATGACATTTTACATTTCAGGAGGAAAGACAGAAACGGATGCTTGCGCCAGATAATTCTAGTGATGATGAAGACGGTGATGCTGAAAATGCATCTGTACAGAAACAAAAATTTATATCTGGGGATGATCTTGGTGATTCATTCACGCTTGATGATGATGAGCGCAATCATAAAAAGGGTTGGGTTGATGAGATTTTTGAAAGAAAGGATGCTGATGGCACTGAAAGTGAAGATGATGATTCTGCAGAAGATTCAGACAGTAGTGATGATGTGGGTGGGGATTCTGATGATGAATCCGAGGAAGATGATAACACTCGTGGAAGGAAGCATTCTTTGAAGGATTGGGAACAGAGTGATGATGACATTCTTGACTCTAATTCAGAAGAGGACGATGAAGCAAGTAAAGAAGACAAGGAACTGGATGAGAACCATCCTAAAAAGGCAAACAAGGGTGCCATAGTTAAAAGTAGTAAAAGTGAAGGAAGCTCTGAAGATGCTAAGAAATTAGAAAAGAATACGAAGCGTGAAAATAAACCAGAACTTCCTTATATAATTGAAGCACCAGAGAGCTTTGACCAATTTTTGTCATTATTGGCTGATTGTTCAGATAGCGATGTAATCTTGATCATTGATCGAATTCGGGCAAGTAATGCTATCCAGTTAACAGAAAAAAATCTGGAAAAAATGCAGGTATACTCTTATTTTATATTTTTATGTTCTCACATAATACATCATTGTTATGGAAATGGACTGATGTTTATACGTTTTTTGGTAGAATAAAGTTACATTGCATTGTGTCTGCTGGTAGTTCTCTTGTTCAACTTGTTTATCAGAAGTCAGAAACACATGGAAAGCTGTTAATATATTAAAATGACATATAAAATGTTAGTGCTTTAAACTACTTGGGGAATTTATATGTTCAGAGTAATTTTAGTCTGCTTTCATTTTTCCCACCTTTCTTTTAATTCAGGCTTCAGGAGTAACAATAAAGGAACGCTCTTTATATCCAGTGTACTTTTAGTTATTTTCATTTCTTTCATCTCTTTTCCATCTAGGCTACTGTAAGTGGAGTTTTTTTATGACCTAGGCTTTTCACTAGTTACACCGAGTGTTGTACTCATTTATTACTCAGTAATTAGGTACCTGATCTTACCTTCATTGATCTTACATATAAATACTAAATTTCTAGAAATTTGGTGTTTATTACAAAACAAACATCCTTTTCATGAATCGTGGCTATGGTCTTGAATGCTTATGATATATACACTTCTCCACTCCAACATTGCAATAGAATTTATCCTCTTTGTTTTGAATGCATATGTACGTTCTGATTATTATTGGGTTGCTTTCTGAGCATTGGTATTAATGTCTCGTTCAGAGATTCTATGGCATACTTCTGCAATATTTTGCTGTATCAGCAAATAAGAAGCCATTAAACGTGGAGCTACTAAATTTGCTTCTCAAGTCGTTGATGGAGATGAGTAGGCAGATTCCTTTCTATGCTGCTACATGTGCTAGGACGAGGATATCCCACACTCATCAACAGTTTTGTGTTGATAATAAGAATCCAGGTATATTTCCTTCCTCCTGTAGTATATACACCAAAATACCTTTGTACATAACTGAACTTTTTCTTGCAGAGAATAGCTCATGGCCTTCTTCCAAAACTTTGATTCTCTTGAGGCTGTGGTCAATGATATTTCCTTGCTCTGACTACCACCATGTGGTCATCACACCAGCAATATTGTTGATGTGCGAATATTTGATGCGTTGCCCTATTGTGACCGGTCGGGATATTGCAATTGGCTCTTTCTTGTGTTCTCTTCTGCTCTATGTATGTTAATAAGCTAATTGTATTTTTTACATTAATGTAGCTATGTTGCATTTGTTAAGTGAATGTTTGCGTTGTTTTATATAACTATTCTTTTTCCTGGAGTACCTTTTCTGCCATTTTTCTCAAGGAAAGCTCCATTTAAAATGCAGGTAGCCAAACAATCTTTGAAGTTCTGTCCTGAAGCAATAAACTTTCTCCAAACTTTGTTGATCGCAGCTGCTGGTAGAAGGTCATTACCCTCGCAAAATCCCCAGGTATACTGAAAAGTTCACACCATTATTTTTTGGTTGTCTTTCGTCCACTGTCCAAGTATATTCCCATTTGCTTGTAGTAGATCTATTGCCAATGACCAAGGATACCCATTTTTTTTCAGCAGATTTGTAATCTAGTGGATTTACATGCACTTGGGCAGTTGCTGCGTATACAGAATCCTACAAACGAGATTACCCCCCTGGACTTCTTCTTTATGATGAATTTGACTGAACATTCTTCCATTTTTAGCTCCGACAGTTACAGGTACCTGTGTGTGTGGGTGCGCGCACGAGTCAGTATGGTCTTTTCTATGCACTTTGCTATAGTCGCATCCACTTTCCACTTTTCTCTCTACTTTTTCTCGATGGGGGAGGGGGGCATTGGGGTTACTCTAGCGTCTTAACGAAATTGATCTTGAGAGCGAAAATTTTCTAAACTATTCCAAAGAAGTGGCCAAACTCTTAGTTATTGAAGGATGCTAGGAATATAGATTGAGACGTTCCTTTTGGCTCCTATCACCATGCCATATGATTTTCTATACCTACCTTGCCAAGTTTCAACAACTACTTAGATCTTGGTCGCGTGGTATTTATTTTTGTTTGCGACTGACGTACTTAGAAGAACCGAGAACTGAATATGCATTTATACGTTTCGTATTATATACTTGATAATGATATTTTATGTATTCAGTATGGATAAATATCAATTCCACATCTTCCAACAATAGATGAAGGTTTGGTCTTTGAAACTGCAGGGCCGGGGTGCTGTTGACAGTTATTGAAACTCTTGATGGATTTGTTAACGTATATGGCCAATTGAAATCCTTCCCAGAAATCTTCATGCCATTCTCGACAATTTTACACGAATTGGCACTGCAGGAGAACATGCCGGATGTATTACGTGATAAATTCAGAAAAGTTGCTGAAGCAATTGAAGCCAAAACGGAGGAGCATTATATGGGGCGGCAACCTCTTAGAATGAGGAAGCAGAAGGCTGTGCCAATCAAATTACTGAATCCAAAATTTGAGGAGAAGTACTTTCCTTCTATTCCGTCTTTAGTTTTATTCATGCTCTCTAGTGTTCTTCCTCAGTAGGAGCCTCAAACAGAGCACTAATTGTTGCAATTTCTTGTTCTTACTTTCGCAGCTTCGTTAAGGGCAGAGACTACGATCCAGATCGTGAACGAGTTGAAAAAAGAAAGCTGCAGAAACTTTTAAAACGTGAAGCTAAAGGAGCAGCCCGTGAACTACGCAAGGATAACCATTTCTTGTTCGATGTGAAGGCAAGAGACAAGGCACTGCAGGAAGAAGAAAGAGCAGAACGATACAGAAAGGCGAGCGCCTTCCTTCAACAACAAGAGCACGCCTTCAAATCGGGGCAGTTGGGAAAGGGAAGGAAGAGAAGAAAATGAAACCAATGGGGGGTTTGATTTGTGTTTCATAGTCTGTCTCCAAGAGGACGAACTAAACACATCATACACTGCCATGAAAAGCGAATCAACCACGAAGAAAGAACGAGCAACCACAATTCAATTCGACCGATCGAATCGTATGCATTTGCTTCCCTAGAGAACCAATCAAAATTTTGGCCCAAGCTAATATTCATATTTATTGTGTTTGTTACTCATCCAGTTCATTGAACATCTTCATGAGTATGAAGCCTCTTTGTGGTTTGGGTCCTGTATTATAGGTTCATGCCTCGTAGGGGCAACCATGAGATTATTAGGATGATGATATAAATGTAGTTTTAGGGTGTTATGGTCATTGTGCAATCAATTTTGTATCCCAGCATTTTTTATGTAAAAACTCTTTAAAATTTATGGTTTAATTCCTGCCCTAATCAGATTTCTCTCCCAAGTAGATTAATTAATTAATTAGAGACCCAAAAAACACCTATAAAGAAATAGTATACCTATAATGACAATAACAAAAGAGTTAGCAATTTGACGATGCTTATTAGTAACATTATGCTTGATTTAAACAATTTTGTCAAATTGATGGCTTCGGCCCGCCACCATATGAGGAAAGGGAGAGGGTAAGAGCACGACACTGCAATTAGTTCGTCTTCTTTGTGTATAACATTCATTTAGCACGACACTGTAACCGAATTGCTTTTGAAGCCCTTTGTTCTGTTGAATGATAAAAGTCTCACGTCGACTCATTTAACGAATAATCATGAATTTAATTTATAATCAAAGAAATAGTATACCTATAATGACAATAACAAAAGAGTTAGCAATTTGACGATGCTTATTAGTAACATTATGCTTGATTTAAACAAATTTGTCAAATTGATGGCTTCGGCCCGCCACCATATGAGGAAAGGGAGAGGGTAAGAGCACGACACTGCAATTAGTTCGTCTTCTTTGTGTATAACATTCATTTAGCACGACACTGTAACCGAATTGCTTTTGAAGCCCTTTGTTCTGTTGAATGATAAAAGTCTCACGTCGACTCATTTAACGAATAATCATGAATTTAATTTATAATCAAAGAATACTAAGAGGAAATTAGACAACATCTCACATGTTCTAACTCCCTAAATTTACTTATAAAAAAAACGAACTTTCTTCTTAATTTAAGGATATTTTAAAATAAATTAAAAAATGAAATAAGTAAATTTATTATTTATTTTATTAACAATTACTAAAGGCTAACTTCGTAATTAACCATGGTTGCCATGTTTATATATTTTATTAATAAAAAACTTCCCAAAAACTGGATTCTCCACGTGGGACAAGGAATCAAAGCACGCAAATACATAACTTTTTAAATATATAAATTCCAAGAAAAAAAAAAAGTAAAACGCATCGTTTTCAGTGATAAGAAACTGCAGCAAGCCCAAAAAGATTTATTTATTTATTATTATTATTATTTTAATTTTTTTACTTTGATTTATGTTTCATGCCATATTAATTATATTTGCTTCTTCATGTATTATATATTAATACTTTGGCTCAAGACTAAATGCAATGCATTTCTCAAAAATAAATATTTAAAATATTTATTACATATAAAATCCAAAAATAAATTTTTAAAAATTTATCAGATAATTTTGAGTAATGAAACGTGTGATTTAACCCAATTTTTATCGTGGCTATGAATTTCTGTTGTATCTATAATGTTTTGGGCCGAACAAGATGACGAGTTTGAAATTTTAAAGGTAAAGAATGAATATTTAATAATAAAGCTTCTTTATATTCTCCTCTACCATAGAAAAAAAAAATAAAAGAAAAAAAAAGTGTTGTTCTTTAAGCTTTCTTGCCATAACCAAATTGCTTTTTCCCATTCCCCTTTTTTTACACCTAAAGATATTCAAAAGAACTTTGGCAAAAGCTTTGGAATTTATGGCAAAAACGTATTGGAAAACTCCCAATTGTCTCGATTCTTTCAAATCAACATAATTACGAAAAGATTCGAGCAAATGATCTAAATAATATCACTATTCTTTCATAATCTTTCCAAGTAATGAAAGTTACCATATTGAGAACAATTGTAATGACTCGACGTTTTAGATAATAGGCTTCAATATCGATAGTATATTTGTCTCCACTATTTGCGTGTTACTAGTATCTCGATTAGTGATAACATAATGTGTTTGTTTACAAGAACCAATATCGCTTGAACTCATTCATGCCCATAACAAAATGTTCGACCTTTTTGGCCTCTGTACCCACCAACTTTAGAGTGAAGCACACAAGCCTAGTGAATTGGCGTTTATAGGTAGTTGGATTAAAAATTCAACAAAAACTCCTATGTATATAGGTAATTGAGTCTCCATTAGTGTCGAGGGATCTCTTAGCAAGTCATCCCTCGCATAAACACGACACATTGAATCTTATGTTCATTCAAATAGTTCACGAGTTAGAAAATAGTTTATACAGAGGATAGTTATAATTCTATCGACGGGTCTCCTAAGAACCCATCAAAAGTGGGATGATCATACCTCGCTTATAGAAACAAGCACGATTCTAAAAGAAGTTAAACGTCATGATATAATGGATTGAAGCGTCATGCACTCACTTTTTGAAAGTCGGAATGAAAATTACTTTCTTTAATGGTCGTTTAGAAAAAGATTAAAAATATGTATTTGTTTTGGGGAAAAAGATGAAAGAATTTGCTATACACAACAAAATTCATAGATTAGGTGTGTGTCTTGATCTGAAAGTGATGTTTAAAAGGCCACCATCATCAAGTCTCCCTCTAGATTTTGTTTAATAATATACCAAAAACTACTCAAAGTTCAAACCACTATACACATTCCATATTGGAGGATGAAAAAGGTCAAAAGCTTCCTCAACTTTCAAAGTCTCCTTTAAAAAACAAAAACCCAAAATATGAAACAATTAACAACATCCTTCCACCTTGGTTCCTCCACCCTTCCAAATTTCGTCAAACTCTTGATTCTAACCCCGCCATGTTACCCCTCTAAAGAAGTCTACCGCTAGCAGATATTGTCCTCTTTGAGTTTTTCCTTTCGGGCTTCCCTTCAAGGTTTTTAAAATGCGTCTATTAGGGAGATGTTTCCACGCCCTTTATAAAGGGTGTTTCGTTCTCCTCTCCAACCGATACAAGACAACACTAGAGACTTATTAGACACAAAAACGAAAACTTTCATTTTGGTTAAGTCGGAGAAATAAAAGCTAAGAGAAGAGCCTAATTCTTCTGAGTTATGTACAAGAAGGAAGGAGCTGATGGTGCTCCATGTTTTGGTTCCTATGTAGTATTTATGGTGCATTTACATGATGGGCTTAAATCAATTCAGTAGCAGTAAATCTCCTCGTGATTATGACCTTATTAACCCAAAATTTACAAAAGATCTAGATCTAAAAAGACCACCAAATAAGAATCTAGTTGGTGAATCCTGAGAAGAACCTTGTTTTTGTTCTTTTGGACTGCCTTTCACTTTCAGTATTGTTTGCCCGATCAAATCTCGAATTGAATCTATCGTCTTCGAATCGACTGGATACCCCGACGCATCACGAACGTAGAACGTATTAATCGCCTTACCGCCTTTAGTTGATACTTCTGCTCTTGTGACAGTCAGGCTGTTCTCTCGGAAGATGCGGGTGACATCAGAGAGAAGGCCTACTCTATCTGTTGTGCATAACTCAAGCTTCAAGCCCTGAAAAACAAGATAGAACAATGAATCAACAATTCGAACAAAGCGAAAAAACTCGAACGACCGCGAAAAATAGTCGTTAGTTTCGGTGAATGGTAGTGTTCTTCACGCACCTCAGACACTCTTCTCCTTATAGCAGCTTCAAGACATTGAATTACCCTTTGTTTCTCTGCATCAGATTTAACAGGAGATCCATCTATATGTCTAATGTAATATTCCTACAAATTCACAATAGAGATCATAAGCCTAAAGAACAAGTCCACATTGTCTCTAAGTTGCTAAAGATGCAAGTGATTGCAATCTTACCTGATAGGCTTCTGTCCCTTCAGCAACTACATTGGCATGGAAGACCACATATTGCATATCTGTCAACGTGCAAATCGTGTCGAAAAGAAGTTTCGGGCGATCTTTGCTCCGAATTGTAATGACAGAATAGTCTATGTCACACCAATTAACAACCTTGACATTAGGCCTTTGCTTCTCGTCCATTAAATCTTCACCAAGAAGTTCATAATCCCTATCAGCAAACATCATCTGATGAAGCCTTCTGTCAATGTGAGTGATTCCTTGAGACACAACAGTCTTAGCTCCATTGGTCCTATTGTTGCTTCCCCTTAGTACATTACAGAGTAATCCCTTGATCCTAGATAGCCTCTCAAGATCAGTAATTGCAGAACCAGTTTCGTCGTCGGTGACATGCATCACGGCGGCCGCCCGTGTGTTGTGAGTCCACACCTCGGCGTGCACAACGTTGCATTTGAGGTGAGTGAGGACCGCGCTGAGTTCAGAAAGTAATCCTTGTCTATCATTTCCAATAAGCTCAATTGCTGTGTAATCAACCGATGGTTTTACACCCACAGATCTCATGGAAGATGCAAAACAAGAATCCGACTCAAGCGACTGAAAACCAAAAAACATAACCGCGTTGAATTAATTGAATGAAACACATGAAAGAAAGAAAGAAAGAAAAAATACAACAGAAAGATAGAAACAGGCACATAGCACATACCCTTTTGATATAGTCTAAAACCCCTTCATCTGTAACTTTGTTTCCATCTTGATCAGTGACATTAAAAACTGTCCAAGAAGCCAAAACCACATGAAAATCCTGATCGGGAGAGAACCAATAAAAGAGAGAAAAATGGGAAAGAGAAACTTACCATCCATGAACCAACAACCATCACAAGAAATATAGGCTTTGGTGACAATGAGATTAAGATCAGTAAGAACTTGAACGACTTCAAGAAGAATCCCATGTTTATTGGCGCTATCTACCTGCAACAAAATGGTTGAAATGAGCATAATTTTAACCCAAATGGAAGACTTCAGCAAATAAGAAACAGAGTTCAAAATCATATACCCTTATAACAGTAGCATCCTTACAGGCTTCATTGTCAATAACAACCCTGGAAAAAGACATAACTTAAAAGCTTAATTTTTGTACAGAAGAAAGTTGTGTTTTTTTTTTCTTCAGAGAAAGGGAGCAAATTATGTACCTGGTTGGATTCATCCTTCTAATCAGCTTCACATATTCATCATCAATATCATGGGAAAAGTTCATGTCGATTGCTGGAATAAGAGAAAAGGGGTAAATAGACCAACAAATAAGACACGCCATGGTAATCTTGTAAAGCCAATCAGAAAACAAGTATCAAAAGCCATGACCAGACCATCTAGAGGGAGAGAGGGAGAGAGAGAGAGAGAGAGAGAGAGAGATCTGAAAATGATAAGGAGGAAAAGAGAAGAATCCCAAACAAGAAAACCAGAGAAGAGACTAAAAACCAAGTAAGAGAAGAACAGAGGAAAGGGAAGGAGAGACACAGAGAGAAAACCAAAGAGAACATACCCATTTTCGATCTGAGGATTTTGTAATCTGTTCAGAATGTTGAAGGTTTCTTCTCAGTTTGTTCTGAAACGCCGCAAACAAGGCTTTGTATTCAACGAGAAAGCGAAGGAGAAGATTATATACACAAGCCAAGGGAGATCTCGGGCTCGCTTTGGGAAGGTTTGAATGAAACAAAGTATTTTCAAAAAATCAATACTTTTTTTTTTTTTTACCAAAAAGATATTAGTAAAAAAATAAGACCTCCCGACACGATACTCCAAAACCTGCAACTTGAAAAAAGTACAAGAAAACACACAACACTTCTTCCCCACTCCCATCTTTCTCTCTCTGTCAAACCCTTTTTTTTCCGATTATTTATTCATAATGGAGATTTAAATCTCCATTATTTGGTCTCTTTGTCCTTGTGTTAACAATTCCAATCTCAGTTATCCTGAATAAGTACATTCATATCATCATACGTGGAAATTTCCTCGAAAACAAAAAAAACCCAAAAAGGACCAGAGGACTCTAACCGGCGGGAACATTGACCGCCGGCGCCGGTACCATCACACATGTGGCGGTGGGTTTAAAGCCCGGAACAGCTCCAAGGTCAGTGGAGCTGGAAAGAACCCGAGGGCGCTAAATCTCCCCACAAATTCCGGCCAATTTTATTGGGTGGAGATTAACTTATAACTGTTCTTTCTGTGTTGTTTTGACAGATTGAGTGATAACTGAGGATGCAATAACTATGATTAGTTACAGTTGTACAGTTAATTGAAAATGAATAAAGGTGGCAGCTTCCATTTCATTTAATTACACAGCTTAGGTCAATACTCTGCCAATTCTCCATTAAAATTAAATTCAGCCTTCAACAGAAACCATAAACTTGGTCCCTTTTACTTTTCTTTGAAATAATATATTACAAATTTTAGTAGTGTCTAATAAATTCAAAATTTTAATATATTGAATGTGATAAATGTCTAAAACTAAAAAATAAGTGGTAACTGGTGTTCTCCAACCCTTGTCATAAATTTAAATAAAATCAAACAATCATATATATAATTAACAATGACATTTTTTTTTTTGGCATAACACAGAAAGTTCAACAAGGACTTGGTGGAGGACCAAAATCAATGAACTAGTTGGACCTTTGCACCTTAAAATGAGATTCTAGGCTGATTCGAGGGAACAAAATATTATTTATAAGGGTGTAAAAAGATCTTTCTAATAGATACGTTTTAAAATCATGAAGCTAATAGCTATACGTAATGGACCAAAATAGACCATATTTACTGGCTATAGATTTAAACTATTAGGATCTCTATCCTCCTTAAAACCATTTTAAAATCAGATCCCAAGCTCACAACGTTTCTTCCATATTTCATAAAATAATACTTCAAATCAAGTCCCCAGATGGGAGAATAATTTAAAATTATTAAGTAAAGATTAAATTCATACTAATTGGACAGAACCAACTGGTTTGATAAATGGGCATTCATTACAAAACGCTGTGCATGCAGCATGCCTATTACTTTAATTGAACAAACCCAACAATAATTTTCTGCTAATAAATTTTTGACAAACTTCATTAAAATCGCCCTTCAAAAAAAAAAAAAAAAAAAAAAAAAGAAATCAAATCAATGAAGAAACACACACATTCAATCCCTGGCAAAGAGTGAGCAGAGGACTAGAAGGGAACAGCCGAAATACAGCTCGGATAGCAATAAACATCAGACAGAAACCAATCAACCACCAGAATTTCAGTGTCTAATTGAATCCATTCACCGTAATGTACGATATGCATTGCTATTAAGATAATAAACTAATACTTCATGGAGGGGATGTTAGTTTACGAATTTAAATACTACTTTAGTTTAGTTTATTTTCTCGATAGGATAATTTCAAAGGGTGCATTTCAGACACCATTTAATAATAAAGGTTTTGAATAAATAAAAGCAAAATTAAATGAAAGTTAAATGTTTAGGTTTGTTTTGATGACCACTTGATTTTTGGCTTTTGATCTTCAAAAATTAAGCATATAAGAATTATTTCAAAGGGTCATTTTTTTACTTTTTGATCTTTGAAAATTAAATATATAAATATTATTTCTACATATGAGTTTCTTCTAGATTAGGATATATACTTTCTATAAAAGTGTTTTTAAAATTCGAGCCAATTTTGAAAATTAAAAAAGTATTTTTTAAAATATATAAACATATATATGTTGTAAATTTAGTTAGGTTTATCAAATGTATTGAATTTATTATAGTTAGGCAAAAAAACAAAACCCATCTACTCGGTTTGGCATTTTGTCAAACACTTGATGCGCATGCGCGTGTGGTTAAGGCCAAGCAAACAACAATTTAAACTAAACCTAGCAGTGGGTTTAATTATAGTTAGGCAATACAAAGCAACACACTAACCTGTTGGTTTTGGCATTTTGTCAAACACTTGGTGCGCGCGCACACACGCGTGTCTTAAGGCGACTGCCGGCCGGCCTCGTGGGGCTGTCACATGGTCCCTCATTCTGAGCTCCCCAATTTCTACAATGCCTGTTTGTGCGATTTAGAGCAGACTCTTTTTCTCTCTGTCCTTCTGAATTCGTAGCTGCTGCAGTTCAATTTCAGGCCTATTAATGGTGTAGCCAAGTGGACGAAACAGAGACGCTTATATAACTTTTTACTTACAGAACGAACGAACGAATGAATGATCGCTAAAAACTGGGCTACCACTTCGTTGTGGCGCGCTTTTTTTCTTCAGAATCCGCAGAATTTGCTGTTCTTTCTTTTGCCTCTCCGTTTCTTGATGAACATTGATTTTTGATTGATGATAATGGATGGATCTTCTTCGGGCTTTTCAATACAGAATCGGTTGCTTTGGGATGTACGATTCAAAGGTTCTGAAAAGACAAGGCGTTCCATGATGGTATTGCAATCTGAACCCTCCTCTGTTCATGTCGTAATTTTCGGATTTTACAAATTTAAATCGAAATTATTATTTTTTATATTATGAAAATAATAATAATAAATAATTAAAATTTATGAAATTTATTTAAATTTAGTTAATTCACTCACTAATTTGTTTTAACAACTAAAAAAAATTTAAAATTTTTAAATGCCTTAATATTAATCAAAATTAAGTTTAAAAAATGTGTCTCTTCCAAATTCACTTATTATTAAACTAAAAAAAATCAAAATTTTAAAATTTAGTTAGATTATGTTTTATTATTATTTCATTCCGAGGTCATGCTCATCCAAAGTGTGTTGCGTATGGTCGTATGCTCATGACAAGCTTTTGTATTTTTAGGAAGTATCATGTTTCAAACAAATCATGTCTATGCCCGACAGACATAAAATGTCTTAAAATGTACTATAGGGGTTCTTCCTACCAATAGTTATATATACTGTGAGCGGTTGTTGTTACTCTTTTACGTGCATATATAACACCTCTTTAAAAACCTCTATTTCGAAAATCTCTCTCTGCCCTCGTTTTCTAAAATCGAGGGTAGAGGCTCGAGCATATGTCGCTTGGCCGTAGGTGACGAAAGAACGAATTGTGCGGCACTCACTTGTTGTTCATTAAAAACTAAAACTCCATAATTTAAAATTTTACAAATTAAAAAAAAAAAAAAAGTTTGAGTCATAAACGAATAGTCCAGTTTATTTAGCTCTGTACATTATTTTAATTTAAAACATGACAATTCGAACATGTTTAGTGAATAAGACACTTATGACCCGTTTAAAATTTATTGTTTTTTTTCATGTCTTATTGCACGAGAATTATAATGTTTAATAAATCATTAAATTATTATGTGTAACGGGTCATTATACTAATTAAACAACTTTATCCTAATTAATATAATTAATAATGTATTTAATGGCCTTTTTCCCACCGGAAAAATCTTCTCTCGTGCTCAATTAAAATACTTATTATTTTTCTAATTAGGTAATTAAATTAATTAAGAACTAATTGAGATTAGTGGATGCTAGTCTACGTCTACACCTATAGTATAGCGTGGGGCCCACTGTAAAATTCAACGGTCAAAGCGTTTGACCGGAAATCAGAGGGGTTTTTCGATATCATCGCGCGGTCACGTGGGACCAGTAGTAAGCGCACGTGATATCCGGGGCGGCGCCACCGGCTGAAAACGAGTCGCAGGGAGTAATGAGGGTATTTTTGGAATTTAAATTTAATAGTATTATTTTTGCGTAAATTAAAGAAAATATTTTGTATTTTGCTGATTATTATTTTATTTTCTTTGATAAATGTTAACGATAATCCACGTGTTTAAAAGGTTAAAAAAAAGATTAAATATATTATTTATAATTTTTAAATAATAAATAAAGTTGTGAGATATTTTTTATTTTATTCTTTTTAAAGTAAAGCTTTTGGGAGTTGGGAAGGGTCGTTTTTGGTACCTCGTCGTTGCCACGTCAGCGGTCCACGTCGGAAGATTGAAGTTGGAGCATGGGCCCACTTATGATTTAAAATAAATAATTTATGTATTATTGTTGTTTTTATTTGGGCCCCTAATTTGCGTGAATATTATTATGGAGAGTTTCGAGTTCCCGTAACCACGTTTTCAACCCCCGTTTTATGGAACCCCATGCATGCGTGTCGTTTGCTGACTGGGTCTTCGTGCTTGCTCGAACCAGTTTTTTTTTTTTTTTTTTTTTTTTTTTCATTTAAAAATATTTACAAAATTTTATATTATAAATCAAAATAATAATCATTTCATTTGAATATCATACTTTATGAGATATTATTTACTTTAGACAAAAATAATTATCTTCATATAGATAAAAAGAGTGAAAGTAATTTTTTGAACTTTTAATTTCAAAAAGGAAGAAAATGATGTTTTAGTCATTGAGCAATGTTCGTACAAGAAATTGAAGAAAACGTGTGATAAACAAGCTCACCCGAAATAAATAATTTAAGCCATACACTTTTTCTCGAGTAAACTTTTCATTAATTCTAACCACATGATATTTACTATATCTATGATACTTCCTATTTGTAACGACCCAGTCCTATCGCTAGCTGATATTGTCAACTTTAGACTTTTCTTTTCGAGCTTCCTCTCAAGGCTTTAAAACGCGTCTCGAGAAGATTTTCACACCCTTATAAAGGGTGATTTGTTCTCCTCCTATCCCAACCAATAAGAGACATCACTATTGGCCCAACAAAGGTTGAACTTGAAAAGAAAAAAAACTAATAATTTATTGTAGTTAGAACTAAAAATTTGTCTTCCAACTTCCCTAGCTCCCACTTTCTTATCTGAATTGTAATATACTTTTATAAAAAATAATATAGTGATCTAGTTGATCACTACCCTATTTTTGTTTGTTTATTTATATATATATATCTATATATATAGAAAAAAATGAAGGGACAAGAGGAACATGTTTCCTGCGATCATTACCTCCTTGCTTCCTCATGTACTGGTCTCCCCACCAGCTGATTGGCCCACAAAACCTACTACCTTTGGCCCAAATTTATTGCGAAGAATGTCTATAACTAATTAAAATGTCATAAAAATAAAATAAGAAGAAAAGAAAATACAGGATGTTCATGGCCCACTTGGGCTAACTTGACAAACATTTGCAAAAGTCCTAAGCTTTCTCCTACTGATGTTCTAGATCTCTATTTAGGCATGATAAGAATGTTTATCCTTTCACCTTCCAAGTGTTTTCATTTTCAAAACAAAACAATCGACAGCAAAATACGTAACTTTGCAGATGTTAATCTTGGTTACTAATGAAGATTTTGCATGCCTGGAGTGATCCGAGAGGCAAAAATGACTTTAAAGCTCGATATCGGGCACCCCTGACAAGAATGAACCGGGATCATCCGACCCAAGTAGTGGCATGTATTCTGATCCTCTAACATGAACACTGAAGCAAGCTGCAAAGAGTAAGAACAGGTTGAGATATGTGAAAGATATGAATCACATTTGATCTGATTTCAGATTAAGAGTTTCCAAGTCACGGGCTTAAATTGGGTAAACCAATGAAGCCCAAACCTTGGGCTCGCAACTACCAAAATTTACTAGTCTCTAGTGAATTAATGATTTTCAGCCCACTGCCTGTCAGGCATGGACAATAACCCATATATTGCTCATAGCTACATCATTTCTTTTTTAGTTCAACTTGTGAGGGTATAGGGTTTCTATGAGATCCC